GAGCTACCCTCACCCCACAAGCCGCGCCTCTGTCCTGTGCCCCCCTCCCACCCTGGCTGGGCAGCACCTGCTCCTACCCCCTCCCTCACTGCAGGGGGCATTGATCTGCCCCCACACGCCCCTTCCCTCCCTCTTCCCCTTCCCCCACACTGGACTTACCACCTGATGGCAGCTGTATTGGATATTGGATCGGTATTGGCCGATAGGCCTCCTTAAATATCGGCTATCAGTATTGGTCCGCAAGATCGTATCGATGCACCCATGGTTACCATTGGACTTCTCCATTTAGATAAATTTCTCTCTCAATTCTATAGGAATATTTTTTCAAAATTTGGACTGTTGCAACCTGCATTTTGCATTAATGTGGAATTCTTACCTCCAGTAACATATATTCTCTGCAATACACTTCAGCTTTTCCCCAGTGTAGCAACTATACACCCAGTGGCCAGATCTTACTCTCACACAACTTTATACACTGTACACAGCCCCAGGAGAAGACAGATATCTTCTTTTAGAGTTAGGGAGACCAAAGGACAGGGCAGTGAAGTGACTTGGCCAAGATTACCCAGCAGACCAACAAAATGAAATAAGAACCAGGTCTCCCAAGTCTGCACACAGTCCACTAGGTATCAGTGCTGTATGTTAATACATGTATATGCAGGACTGGGGGCTTAGGTACCTGCAGAAAATACAGCTTCAGTGCTACAGCTTATTTGGTTTGGGGGAGTTTGCATCCTAATGTGCTAGGAATGTTCCCAACGGAGAAAGACAGTTCCTATCCCAAAATTGTTGGGCATTGTAATGGTAAGCTTTCATATCATGTATGGCTGTGAGGGTACTCAGAATCTGCTACGAGGTACTCCCTTCTCATGGCCTTCAAAGCACATTTGGGATGTCCAAATGCTACATTTGAAACTGGATGCCAGTTAATAGTTAGGAAATAATATAGAGTATTTTATTAAGTTGCATATTTTTGCCTTAAGTATCTCACTCAGAGAAGTGGTTTATGATAACAAGTATTGGCAAGTGGTTTCACACTGAAGCAATCTTGAGTAGCTTAAAGATACTCTGAAATTTTCAGTACAGCTCAGGCAGTTTCAATGGGAATATCCTCAATTAGAAAGGATTAAAGAAAGTAATTACAAGTATACAGCCCAAAATCCACTGAAGTCAACTGGAGCATTTCCATTAATTCTAATGAGTGTTGGATCAGATCTTGAATGAACTCATGGTTATTATTTTCTGATTCTGTTCTTTCATTCCACAACTGAGAAATTATTTTATGAATTAAAGCACAGACAATTAACTTGGAGGTAAACTTCAGCTTGGCATACCTTGCAAAATAAGTACAGTACATTTGTATTGGCGCACAAGTGACTAAAAGTACTGGAAAAAGCTACAGAAATGAATAGGCTTAGTAAAAAAAAAAAATCACACTGAAAACTTGAACATGAAAACGTTGCATAGTTTCTTCAACATGATATAAAGTTCAAGATATATGATACCTATAAATTGAATGCATCTTAGGTCAAACTTTGACCATGGAGTGTCAACCCAGAAAGTATACTGTGCATGGCTTCTTTAATATGGAGAAACTGTCAGAAACAATAAAATCAAACTGATCTAGATTTTCAGTCCTAAATTCAAGTCAATAAAGTGTTAAGAAAAAACTTGTGACTTCAATGAAGACTGATGCTGGAAACATCTTCATTTACCATTTTTCTGTATTAGGTCTTGATTCTTAAGAGAGATGGGTGTGCAGATCCATATCCTCATGTACAACTAAAATTTCACCAGTCAGTAAGCACACTTTCCTTTTTAAAGCATGGCAGAACTAATATAAAGCAATTATAATTTAAAGCACTTTTCACTTTCCTTTTTAAAGCATGGCAGAACTAATATAAATCAATGTACAAAATGCATGTGTTGTATTTATCATAAAAGTGCTTTAATTTCCACGTTTTTCAACGTATAACATTTAATGTCACTTAACTAATAGAAAACCAACTTTTGTCTTTAAAGTTTAATGAAATATGTTTAGAAAAAGCACTCTCATCTCTACAATACAATATTTAACATTTTTAACCAGAGCCAATATTTTAAATAAACTCCCCAATAAAGAGGCACATAAATAGTAAGCAGCCAAAGTAAATTACTTAAAGAATTTCTTTCAATTAACTGGTATAACTATACACTGCCTCGGCTTAAAAATAATTTATCCATTTCTTGAAAACTTTTCCATTAGTTTCTGCGACTGTTTAATTGATTTAACTATATAACTATAAACTTTGTCATTTCAATATTCTATTGAAATGGCACCAAATTTCATAGGTTGTTCAAGTTGCAATAAAATCCACTACTGTTTTTTAATGGAACGAATATAAATACAAAATCTTTTCTTCCTATCGTCTTTGATAACTGGCATATATGCTGATAGACTTCCTGTCTCAAACAACTCATATCTGGATTCGGAGTCCTACAATACCTGTCATATGGCAGTATTTTAAGAAAGTCATTCTTAAAGGGTTATTGTTAAATGACAGTATTCATGGGAACTTCTTGTCTTTTACTGATGCTCAAGGCTAGTTGCAAAGTACGCACAGGAGTACCCTTGGCAGACTGCCAGTTGTACTGTAACAGGAATCCTGCTGTAGCATGTCCATTAATCTTCTTCAAATACAAGCACTGTGCATCAAGTATTGTTATGGACATTCTTTCACAAAGTTTGAAGCTGATAAACTTGTGGACCTTTTTTCAGAAGATAACCCTGATCATTGAGAGAGCCAATAAAGCTGGCAAAATCAGATACCTAAAAGAAAAAAAAAAGCAGTAAGTTTTATTCAGAGCAACACTCCTGTTACTTGTCAGCTCTGTGTTCCTGAGGGAGCCCTGGCACCCAGCTTGCTGGACTTACAAGGGACTTTTTCTATTTCCACCCTCCACCCCCACACACACCTCATCTAACCAGAACTAAGCAGAAGAAAAGCTTAATAGGCATCTCAGGCCATACATTCCCTGGTCCCAGTATGGGAGGCCTATTTAAACTCGATTGACTAAAACTTGGTCACCGGGTTAGGGAATGCTGAGGCAAGAGACCGAGTCAGAGGGGATATGGGCGACATTTGAACAATGGTTAAGGGGTCATCACAGCGTCCAGCCCGTTGGAACCCTGGCCACAAATGCTGTCATACTTTTCCCAGGATGACTGGTGGAAGTCCTCCCCACAAAGTTTATGGACACTCCAAGTAATCAATCCCCTTAAATCTGTTAAAAGACTACAGTAAAATCTGAGAGTCATGCTAAGCTGAGGCTTATTCACAACAGGTAAAATGCAAAACACTGACACTTCACAGTGCAAGCATAGCTAGGCCATCTGAGAAGATCCCTTCCAGTATATTCATAATAAATTTCAAGCTGGCTCCTAGGTGTCTTTAAGACTTAATGTTTTTCCAAGTTGTTAGTTTCTTGAGATGTTCCAAACCAGATAACCCCTTGTCACTGAAAAAGGTAATTCATTTAAATTTAAACTGTTTATATAACAGGATTTTCCTTGTCAATTATGGCTTGGGACCCTCTTGATTTACACAATTAAAAGAATGCTTTGAAGAGGCTAGACTAAGGGTATAAGAAAGCTGCAAAGCAGCATGTGCTTCAAGAGAGAAAAATATCTCTGACACCATGCGCTGTTCTGGAGAAGCTGGGAGAAACAGATCATCTCCCTTCAACAATTGTGCTGTGAACTTTGCTTGTCAACAAATCACCCGAGTGCCTTGGAATGGTGAGATCCCAGCTCTCTCTCTCTCTCTCTCTTTCTTCTCTCTAAGCATAGTTTTCTGAACCTAAATTGTATTAGTTAAGCTTGAGCTAGATTTCCCCAAATACTCAATTAAATCAGGGTAATATTGTAATTGTTTTGTTTGTTTTTCCTTACGTGTCTATTACTACTAGTACCATTATACATTTCACATACTTAGCAATAAATAACTTTTAACCGGGTGTATTTTTCCTTCTCTACTGCCCTTCCCCACTTGCTCTGCAGCAACGCTTCTTTTACCTAAGCCAAAGATCCCTGTGAAGCCCAGAAATACTGTGGGGTCCGCTCATCAAGAGGCTACCACTACTAAGACAGTTAGGGCAAAAGATTGGGATGTGCCGAGTTTGAGACACATAAGGGGATCAGCTTATATAGGCTGATTGACCCAGTTTGGTTCAGACGTGCCCTAATGAACTGAATGCACTGGAAGTAGCTTGCAGGGTCAGGGATTTGGTGGCTTGGGGAGGAGGGGGCACTGACTGGTCTGTGTGGGGAGGGTCCTTCTGGGAGTGGGGCAAGGGGTCAGAGGACTCAACATTGGCCAGCACTGGGGGGGGCAGGAAGGGAAATGCAACCCAGGGCCTGGAGCTGGACTTTCCCAGCCTTGGGGCTACCTACACTGGGAACTGTACAGAAGTTTAGTTAGATTGCCAACCCAATCTAAGTTAGACTACCTTGGAGGTAAAGTTAACTTACATCAAGCTTGCCATTTTTTAGACCAATCTAACCATCCTGAACTTCTGTACAGTTTGCACTTAGATCAACCTAACTACAGATCTAAATGTAACGTCTGCACCCGGGCACACTAAGTTAGATTGGGTGGCCATTTTTAAACAGGATCTAACCCGCATTAACCTCCCCGAACATCTGTATGTACCCTATTAAAGATTTAACTTCTTTGCAAATTTCTAGACTGCTAACACTGAATACAGTTTGAGTGTATCCCTTCTCAGTTTATAGCACACAAGTTTCAATAAAAACTAGGTTGTTAGCATTTAAAAAAAACCCAAAAGAAACAAGCTCCAGTTTTTACCACATGGCTATTTTAAATCCATGTTCCATGAAAGATGAAAGGAAAATTTATTTTGCCAAGGGAGTGTTTTTGCCAGACTATTTTAAAAAGGAGAGAAAATAGAGAAATCTGTTGCCAAACAAGTCTTATAATTAATTCAAAGGCATTCAAGAGATACAGCTCCAGCGAAGGAAGGTCTCACACACACACACACACGAGTCCCTCCCTCCTCCTATAGAAGTAGTACTACTGTGTTTTGTCCAGATGTGACTCTCACTACTACCACTGCACCTCTTAACACTGAAAGATGCTAGCAAGGCAGCGTGAAGAACAATGCCCACGCTAATAGTTAGTGAAAAGACGTATTCAATTTTTCTTTATTTTCCATATGCAATGAGAACATTTTTAAAGAGACTTTAAAAATATATATCTTTCTATTAGATGTTTGAGGCATTTCATCAAGTATTGTAAAGTGCAACTGGCTAGCTAATTTTTTCACTTACGAAGAAAACAAACAAGACAGAGTAATACAAGCTGAAGATCAGAAAATAAATTCTGTATGTTGCTTTATGTATTTTTGATTTGCTTCATTTCTAATTAATACATTATGTAAGCTTGGAATAGGAATGAAAACATGCAGGCATTAAAAACAAGAATACATTTTCATCATAACAGGCAACATTTTGGGGCTTAAGTCATGGTGATCAGGAAGATGGAAAGAGGAAGTAAAACATGCTGAAATCAAACTTGTCTTTTGCAAACAAGGCAGAGACCATCCTCAATAGCAGCAGCAAAGCTAGTGCTTGCTGATGCAATATGTTACAGCTGTCAAAAAGGCTGATGAGATTAGAAGCAGTTTACAACAGAAATGAGTCATGGACAGATGTCAGAGCTGAAAAAATGTGGTTCGCTCATCCTTATCCAATGGTGAAATGTGACACTACTGTGCTGTTTCTGAGTTTTACTTCTTCATTTAAATTTCCTCAAGAGAAATTAAAATAACTTACTTTTATTTGTAATTCCTTTGCAATCTGCCGAAGCTGTTGAAATTCAAATATATTGTTGTAGGTTCTTTCGGCAATGTTACTCAGGGCAGAGACAAATTTTTTGGCTTGTGACCTATTGCTCATCCCAGAACCATGCTGCGAACGCTCAAAGTCCAGTTTTCCAAACTCATCGGTGTAAGTACCTAGCATGCTAAAAAACACAACCACACTGGAATCAACATCATGTAAAGGCAGAAATAAATACATACTCTATCCAATGCATAAGAGTATGCTCAAGGTCTAGAGGCCTACGAATTGTGCAACTCCATCCAGTAGTAATACATCAAAGCCCCAGGCTACTAGCTAAGTGGCTTATCTGAACCACTTCCAGACTTAATTGGTACACAGCATGAATTCACAGCAGTCAGCCAACAAGATAGGAAAATACTTAGGAGTACATCTCTTCTAACAGGTAAAATAATACAGTCTTCTCTAAACTGCTGAGCATCAGGTTTTTTTTGCAAGTTGTTTATAATCATAGTAGCCATGTTACATTAAATGAGAAAAATTAACAAATAACAGTATTGTACAATTATATTGTCACCTTATTTAGCTGAGGCTGCAAAGAGTTTTTAAAACAAAAGCTTTAGAGAGTTTACATATACATACCTATGGCCTGAACTATACCGTCTCATCATTCTCGTGGTTACATAAAGAAAAATGATATTCTTTAAATGAATACCATAATTTTGCATGATTGGTAACATCATACATTACCTATATTTCATTATTTCTACAACATCCTCAGCATCTTCTTTGGTTGATTTTTCCCTTAACTCCAGCCTTGAGCGTGCCTCAAAAAAAACCAAAACCAAATCATATATAACAATTCAGTTGCACAGTAACTTAAACACAAGAGTCCATCATTCAGGCATACTTGTTGCAACAAACTCTACGTGCTGGAATATGATCCTGCACAACTTAAATAGAGATGCCTGCATTCTTTTATGGCATTTCTGTATGAATAATAACACTAATAACAACCTGCTCTTATCAGTGAACAGCAATGCTTCACCCCTTCAAAGCCATCTTAGTGAGCTGGTGCCTGGAAATCATTTGCTTTATAACACTGCATTCTCTGGATAGCACCAAACCATGACTAACCCATTAAAAGACAACATTAAAATATGGACAATAGCAGTTAAGCCATGGCAGGCAAAGAAACATGCCCCTCTCCACATCTTCCAAGAGATTTTATTACTGAACATTAGGTTAGTATCTCTCAATCCTCTGCCGCCTCTTACAAGCAGGTACACAGCAGAGGGAGTGAAGTGGCTAGGATCTGTAAGGCTTGGGCAAGTTCACAGTCTAGGAAGACTTTTTCTGGAGAAAGACGCCCCAGCTCCTTAACAACTCGCCAGTTTTATATGCATCTTGCAATCAGCCACCTTAAAAAAAAAGTCATCACAGTCTGATTGCACAAGTTGGACTGTTACTTGCTATTTTGGTCAGTAAGCAAGGACCAGAACACCCTTGTTTTCCTAGCTGCAAAGGATTTAGAAACAGTTTGGAATAAAAAAAAAAAAAAAAGCGTTGCTTCAGGTTACTAGCCCTGCTGGAACTATAGAGCATCAAAATAAATTACGTTAGGCATGAAGGACAGACTAATGGATGTGAAGGCTAAACAAGTTGAAACATCTATTTATCTTCCACTCAGTCCTAGCTGAAAAGTATACTATTTGTAAAAATGGAAAAAAAGAAAATAAATTAGAAATTTGTGTACACTTTATTGTCTATATTGGCCTTTCTCGACTATACAGGCACAAGACAGACATAGTCAATGATTTATGTTCCAGTATAACCTCATAAATCCAGCATGCTCAGGACTGAGCACTTGCCA